AACTCTTTAATTACACTTTAGACAGTTTGCACGTGAAAATTAACGGGGAATTGGAAACGCTCAAGCGGAAGGCTCATATAGGGCCGACGAATTCTCTGACAACGAATTACTCACCGTGTTCACGTCTACTTTTGTTCGATTATCGAACGTAATAAAACGTGAATTTTATTAATGAAAGACCGGATCGATTTCTCTGTAGCCAATTTTAGAAATGTTCCTCGTTAATGTCAGATTTCCTATTATTGATTGGAACGGTAGATAATTAATGAAGACGTTAACACGTTTTGTGATTTCAGAAATCTCGATCCAGAGTTATTGGCGGAATAACTTTTTTACGGGACTTTCTAAAAGGCTTTCAATGGGACTCGCTGTATATGTTTGCGTTCATCTACGTCAGAGCTGTTCAATATGCCTCGCGGCGGACAAAGCCAAAGCCACAGCCTAAGGGCAAAGCCACGGGCTAAGGGCAAAGCTACGGCGCAAAGCTACGGACAAGCGTCTTAGTGGAATATAGGGGAGGGGGAGCGTGAGAAAAGAAAGAGCGAAGTGTTTACGTTTTCATGCCATTCTTCCTCTCTCACTGGTACGCATAATTATGTCCCGTAATTATGTTAGCACCCGGAAAGGAGTGATTTCTGAGGTTATTTGAAATAACTTTTCCCTTAGCAAAAATGCAATCCGCGGATTTGTTTACGAGTTACTAACGAAAAACGGTGACCAATGAGAGCGATTTCCCGATAACGAATAATTTTGGAAACTATGGCCAATACCGAATGAAACACCCGATATACAAAGTGATGGGACTCGATGAATGTTTCTAGCGAACATGTCTCTACATGTATAAAACCATGTTTACGAATATTCATCTGTGGTCTTTATTTAATGCTAGATTTACGAAGCACAAAAGCAGCTGTTTTATATTAGTTTATGAAAGTAACAATAAAACATTTATTTTGATTTTTAACAAGTGTTATTGTAACATTTGCCGTAAGTAAGATATAAATTGCATAAATAACTCATAAATGTATCTTTACGATATAAATTAAAAAATTAGTAACCCGCCATTTTAACGGGTTCCGTAAATCTAGTGTTAAACTAACCGGCCCGCGATTTTGATGTATTCCTTGTACATAGATACAGTAAATTCTGCCTAATTGTGCACACAAATGGGAAATTTCGAAAGAGGTGATGCGATTATTCGAGCCTTGCGACTCGTCATTATCTATAAAAACAGGTCGCACGACTCGAATAATCGTATCTCCTCTTCCCAAATTGACCACTTTTGTACGCAATCTGAGCGTAAATTTTAGTATAGTTAAAATTTCAATAAACTTCAACGAGTTCTCGGTTTTATTCGAAGTCTAAAAGGACGATCAATAAAGCACTTAAACTTCTACCAGAGAGTAATGACCGCGATTAATTGGATAAGAGCGCTTATTAAACCAAAGATTAGCAACGCTGCAACAACAACAAAAAAACTGTTAACATTAACTGCCTCGGGATTACAAAATTCATTTTACCGCCTCGAAGTGCGTTGACGACAACGTATGAAACCGTAGTACAGCCGTATCCTCGGTCCGTAATGTTTTACTGGCCTTAAGTCTTCGGCAGAGCTTTCCCCGTTAATTCACTTTGCAAAGCATACGCTTTAAGCTGTTCGAGAACAGGCAGTTTGCGCGGGAAACAAGAGGATCATCAGGAGAGGCGTAATTTCCCGTCTTAAGCACGAGCTGCTGAGCAATCGCGTTCCCAGAATCACCCCGACGAAAAACAAGTCGGAAACGGCCGGCGACCGGCGGCGTCCAATCCCGAGAATTGAATTCCCGAATTAGTAGGGCGGTCGGAAATTAATTTCGTCCAATTTTCGGCAGTTCCGACAATTGGAAATCGTAAAACGCCCGAATAATGGAGATTGGCCGGCATTTAATTAAGCTTTCAATTAGGGCCGAGCATCCCAAGGCGGTGTCACGGCGAATGACGCGTGTACGTCGCCGCGGCGTTGCACTGACGGCGATTCATGCGGATGGACCGTCAAGGACCATCGATCGGCGATGACGCGACCGAATTCGTAGATTCCTATAACGGAACCCGGTCGAATTTATTTGTGAAATGAACTATGGCGGCGCTGGTAACGACTCCAATCGGGGAACGAATGGTTTATGGCCCTCGGAAAGTTTCCAGCAGCGCTAACGAGCCGAAAGTTTGTGCGGTCTTCAAGAACACGATAACCGGATATTACTTGTCAGCCATCAACTGGCACAGTGAATTAAGTGTTTTCTGTGTCAGCACGAAAATGACTCGGTGAAACGCGAACAAGGAAGCGCCTTGCGAACGCACACTTCACCCCGTTTCCCTCGACTGTGATTCCGAACAGACGTGCCACTGACTTCTGACAAAATTGTTAACTCCTATCCCCGTAGTCCCTTTCACTTAAGCGTGTAGTCATCGTGCTCGATGCTCCCTTTCATTACGTATTACGTAATTCGTTTCGGTAACGACTGTCCCGTAATTACCCAGCGATGCACAGATTTAACGAGACGTCAATGTTGAGCACTCGATAGGCGTACTACCGTCTGCAGTCGAGCTGCATGTTGTAGCATAACGCTGCTGTGGGAGCATGCTATCTCCCAAATCAACCAAATTAATGACTGAGAGCCGCAATTGAAATAATTGCACATGGTGCATTGGACGGAGTCGCAGCGCGTTTATTTAATCTTCTTGTATAAGGTGTCAAGAAATATAGGACAATTATTGTAATATAATGTAATAATTTTATATTATATATAATAATATAATAATTATATACATATATAAATATTATATATATATAATTATTATATTATTTTAATGATTTTTTTTATATTCTATTTACACTATGTTTATATTATAAATCATGTAAAGACCATGATAAATCAAATTCTTCATAAAGAATCAAAATTAAAATGAAATAAAATAAAACTGTGCACTATTCTTTCTATGTATTAACACTCGGATCATAAACTTTTCGACGAAAATATAACCGAGTATAAGATCATTTATAATTTCAATTATCAATTTTCTTTACATATTTTTTAAGTTCTAGACAGATTAGTTTTACTAGAGACCGTGGTCAGAGTGTTAATAGACTTTCATCAGACTTTCGGCAAAATTAAAGAATGAATTAGAAACCGCTGTATTATAAGAAAAAACTCAAATAAACTTTCATCCAACTACTGTTTCTTTAAATTGGCTTGGAAATATATTATTATAAAACATGATGATCAATATCAATAATAAACGGCATAATGTAATGAACGTCTATTTTATGAACGTCAATTTTATTACTTTAAAATAAGTATAAATATATGCTTCCTATTTTTTTAAACGTTTAATTGGGTGTCCTCAATGGTTCACATATTATTCATTGATAAAATTTCCCGTTCAGTGATATGCATGTTTGTTTATGAAATAATTAACAATCTCGTCTTTCGTGGACGTCTGTTGCGCCTCGGTATTGAATTTAGTATTTCATTTTTCATAGCGATAAATGGAATAGCCATTTTAGAAAACAAAAATAAATCTATGGAACAGAGCAATTAAATAAATGACTAGTTTATGGAAAGTCTGTTTCAGTTTCGAAAATTCGAAAGATCCTAATGTATTTCTGTGAGGGCATGGTACACACTTCAAATGTTTCTTCAGAATTAATACAAAAAGAATGGGCACTTGTGAGATTAACTTATCAGAAACTTGAATCTTGCGAACGCCTAATTGAGTCTAACAAGGGAAGGTCTCCAGGGTTGACGCTCACTTTTTGATGAAATTTGATACAATGATAGAGCTTGTAAAGCTGAATTCAATGATACCCAGTTTTAAGGGCAGACGATTTATAGTTTTTGAGATAATTGATGTTAAAGTTGCTAATAAAAGGCCATAGAGACGCAATGGATTACGCAACAGGGCACCGCGCGGTGAGAACTGGGGGATGCCCGCACATCGCCCTCAGGCGGGCCACCTTATCGTGCCGCCGGGGCTCCTCCCCCCACCCCCTACTACCTGCCGCATGGTGCTACGCTGCCTAATCCAGCGCATCTTTCTAGCCTTTTATTAGCAACTTTAACATAAATTACCTCTGTGGCGGCTACCTCCAGACCCGCCAGTAGAGGGCTCCTCTTCCCGCTAGTAGCCGATCCGCCTCGATCCCTATATATACGGAGACTTCGTCCTTTCCTACCCCCACGTCTAAGGCAAGGGCCCGCTAGGATAGTGTGGGGACGTGGTTCCCCCACTCCGACCGCCTGCGCATGGCGCAGGCGCGGCGGCTCTATGCCGCCATCACGAGGAGCACATTTCCTCCTCGTGGCTCTCCGACTCTGAACCTCGAACTGTGCACACGTATAGTAGGGAACCTTGAGTATCTAATTTCTCATACCGCCACCCTACATTAGTGACCCCGACGGTTCGACTTAAAACGCATTAATTTCATACGGTCATCACCCCTACAATAGCCTTACTGATGAGTCCTCTAGCGGGCCCCGGACGAAACGTCTCCCCACTCCTTTTCCACGACCAAACACAAACACACATCAACCGCCGCCAAACCTCTCAAAAACTATATATACTATATATATATATATATATAGTTTTTTTTTTAATAATATTTAGTTTGGGAGGTATATATATATATATATATATATTCCCAAACTAAATATTATTGGATTCAGCTTTACAAGATCTACCACTTTACCAAATTTCATCAAAAAGTAAGCAACTCTAAGGACCTTCCCTTGTAAGAGCAAGTACTCGAATAAACCTACCATGTGCACAATTTTGGCCCAATGTCATCATAGTATAACACAGACATTGATCTAATGCCTTCCCTGATGTTAGTTTTACTTAACTGAATGTTTTCCTTCATCGCGGCTTACGCCGCAAACTCCAATGGCATTTATCCGCGATTATACCCACCGTGAAAACTAGTTTCTTATGCTAATAATGACGGTGACAAATGACGCACTTACCGGTGAGATGAAGCTGTATTTCCAGGAAAATGCTCGCTAGGATTAGCAGCGTTCTCATGGTGACAATTAATTTTATAACGTCGTTATTTCAGACGTTCATTGTAGGTATCTGCAACAGAGAGAAATGGATTGGGTCAACAACTGTACTTGGAAAATTGCTAATGGGTCAAGTAAAAGAACTCATCTCCAGAAATATAAAAACCACGAGATGTTTATCGAGTTATTATAAAAGAATTGACGGCGGTGTAGCCGTAAATATAGAGCAAATTGGTTTGACCGATTCAACAGAAACAGGACATGAATTAGATCGATTAGGATTTTACACAAAGGAAGTTTAACATGATTTTAACGCTCAGGCTATGGTTGTCGGATCATTCTGACTCAACTGCGATCAACTATGCGAATGAGACGATTTATAATATTTATTGATAGAGTTATTTGTAAAACTCATAAATATGAATATCTTATGTCAAGGTTATTTATAATGAATCGTATATGTTTTTATTTTTTTTACATTCCTCTATTACTCTATTATTTTCCTATATTTATCAAATAATTCTACGTAAATAATTTTATACGTGATAATATTGTATAATCGTACAACATAATCTTTCCTACTCAGTTTAGTATCTAACCATAACTTTACAAGTTTCATTTCAGTCAGTAAATTTCCTTTTTACATAACCTTTAAATCATATCTATATCAATTACTGTTACGTTTTGAGCGCAATAATATGACAAGATATGACTGCATCGATATCAGCATTTTTTTATTACAAAATTTTCATATCGACACATTATTTTCAATGGTAAATCGTTAACATCTCGAACAAATCAAATAAATACTAGGAGACTAAATTATATCAATATTGTGATTGGCACTGTTGCAAGAAGCTAATCGTGCAAATACGTATTGAATCAACGGAGCTTGCTCGTCTGTTTGAAGTTGTATATACAAAACGATGTTGAATGACGGGACGCGCTTCAATAAAAGCGAATACGGCCGATGCCATGAGATGCGCTGGCTCAGAATTCCCTCTTTCTTCTCAGTGTCCACGTCAATGTTCAAGTCCCTTGCAATCGATATCGGTCTAAGTAGAAGGGTAGTGAACCCCAGACCCTTACACGCTGGAAGCCTCAAGATTTCGACACAAGTGGCATACCTTTGTCAAGTATTTTCGACAGGGGGTATGAGAAGGGAAAAATGGATCGCGCAGAAAGTATCCATTGACAAGGAATTCTCGGCGTGCTTCACCGACGTCCGAAAGTTCGTCGAGTTCCAAACATTTTTCTTATTCAAGGAGGCTTCTTGTCACTCAGAGAGCCTCGTTGTCCTGTTTCACGAATAATTACAAATTTCTTTGCCTCTCAAGGTTGCGCTTTTCTCATTTGCATCATCTATGAAAAACGTAGTTTAACGAGAACAGTAAAAAAAAACCGCCGTAAACATTTAATAATTGTAGTATTGTAACATTATAAAAATGACACCGTAACTGATGACGCTTTAATTAATTTTATGATGCTACAATTTTTAGTATCCGGTTTAATATATGGCCTATTAAACCTTCGAAATATGTTATTATAAAACATGATGGTCGATATCAATAATAAACAGCATGATATAATGAACAGCACGGCGTTTTCATAAACGTCAATTTTATTACTTTAAAATAAGTATAAATACATGCTTTCTATTTTTTAACGTTTAATTGGGTGTCCTCAATTGTTCACATATTATTACAATTTCAGTAAATTCTTGCTAATTGACGCTCAGATTGTGCGTCATATATTTATGTATAAATTAATAGTAATGAACAAAATTGTCAGATCAGGTCAGTTACATCAGAAATTGTGTTAAATGACGATGTGTTATCAGTGCATCCAGACACTAATGACAGATAATCGACACCCAGCTAGCCATGGATGTTGCCAATTACTTCCATGAAATTCGACGGTGGATCTATATTTTAACTATACTGTAGATTGTTGATGTAGCCATGGGATTGGTAATTTTATAAAAGAAAGCAGCTAATTTAACACTTTTACCGTATATTTATTCGAAGAGATCTTTCAGTCAGTGAAATTCTGCAAACAATTCTGTAACAAGTAAAAGGGAAAAAACGACAGGATGATATCTTAGCAATCTCTTCGGAGAACGATGAGATCGGTCGATTCTTCTTTATCCCAGCTCCCCTTTAAATATTTAACAGATCGACGGGGATGGTGTGCCGCAACGAGTTAGGCCGTCACGGCGCAGAAATTGCACGAGTTTTCTAATACTATTTACATAGGAACGCCGTTCGATTTTCTCTGCAAACATCCGACGGTACATCGCAGCTCGATAAAGCACGCCTTCAAACTGATTTGTCGGACGCACCGTGACCACTGTTTTTATTAGACCGGCAGAGTGCGGCGCCGCGTGACTTTAACGGCCGAACATAATTCCCGGGCAAGTTTACTCGCTATCGCGAAGAAGAAACCAGACAAGCGGTTCGTGCTCGGCGTCGGAGATTTACGGGCACCCGTAAAACCCGAAAACTCATTGCCAACTGGTGGCTTCTTAAGCCCCACCCCGTTGGCCGACGTGTGTCCGACGAACGTTAATCGGAAATAACGCGGGAAATCGCGCGAGCGCAATAGGGGCACGCGTTCTGTAAACAAAACAGCGCGGGATCCGATAACTTTTCGCTGGTAAAAAGATCAACGTTCCAGCAGCCACGTCTGCTGAAATTCGCCGTCGATTTATCACTGACGCCACGTTTCGACCATTCTGCTTTCGATTCGTAACTTCCCGACCTCCATTCGCCTCTCAATATTTCGTTTCCTATCGACTTGCGATCGTTAAATGCGGAACAATTGCACAAAAGGTGACAAATATTTTTTTGTTTAAAGAACGAACAATTTTTTGGGGACGCGTCGCGTTGCGATTTATTGCTGTCGATACTTTCGTTCGAGTTTGACAATTGATTACATGTGGAAGTTACGTCTGTGAACGACAATGTTGAACATTTATTTCGAATAGAATCGAGGCAAGATTGTAAAGAACGATTGTAAAAAGAGAAAACAGAGTTTTCTTTTGTTAAGGCATATGTTACGAAGACATAAAGATCCACAGTCTACTTGTAACTGTTATGTGTGGTCGAAATACTATCTCTCTGATCGATAACGGTTATTTAAACAAAATTATTTCAATCGGAAAAAGAATTTCTATCATATGACTACTTTCTATTTTAATTGTAAAAAGATTTTATCCAAACACGTTTATTATATATTTGGATCAAACATACGTTTCAGTTTATTTTAATATTTCCCCAGTTGTTACGGAAAAATCGGGAAACGGATGGATGAAGAAATTGCAAAAACCATGGAAAATATTAAAGCTTTTATTCAATATTTACCCCTTGACGCTCATTTTTATGCAAGCGCAAGTGCTTCTATTAAGAGGAAATCGAATGATGTCAATTTTCTCTTCATCACATCTAAAAACAAGTAGAACGATTGATAACTGGACTGCGGATTTTAGTAAAATAAATTGTGAAAACGTCAGACGACTTCGAGAATATTTTTATATTCTGTATAAAAATGATTGAAAGGGTCATGACATTTTAATCTGACTTACGTTTTTAACAATCAACTGAAACAATTTTTATTTCGGATAGAAATCCGCGATCCACTGATAACACGATAAATATTCTTTTAAATATAATACACGCGTTTTCTATAAATATATCCTGCATAAATTCTACATATTGCCCACACAACAGAATAATTGAACGTCGTTCAACCGCATGAAAATCAGCAATCCACCGATCAGTATTCACGGAGCGATACGATTTCCTTCGTTCATGTTTATGGCAAAGATCGTTGCGGATGATGACAAATCGCATATTAAAAGCAATCGGCAGAGCGGGTGGGGTTGTTCGCTCTTCTGTGACGAGCAATCGGATTTTTTTTCGCTGGCTTCGGTAACAAATGGCCATTTTGGCCGAAATCGCGCCGCGTGTTCCCGCGCGCGCACACGCAAGGAGGAGGGCGGCAATATTCAATAGCTCACCGGCCGAGAAATATCGTTGCAATAAATGATACATGCGCAGCGGAACGTCGCGCGGCTTTATCGATGTCGGCATCATCGCGGCTGCTTCCCGTGGTGCTCGGCCACTCCCGTTTCCAATTCATTTACACGGTCCTGTCGCGTTTACTGTAACGGACAAAAGATTCGGACGAAATAAAGAAAAGAATGAAATTGGTCAAATGAACTGTGGTTGCATATCTTCTCCAGAACGACGTCTCGCGTACCGCAATCCGTCGGAAGACGGATGGAAGAAGGATGGAAGAAGAACTTCGATTGAACTTCGATTGGTCCGAGAACAATATTTTCTGGCAATCCTGATTTGTCCAATGTTCATGAGCCTCGGCATATGTGAGTTTCATTTTTCTATTTTCAGTACTCGGTGTTCGTTCCTTGCGTGATCCTCGTGCTCTTAACCCCTTAACGCGCAGAAACGTATTAACACGGGCGTGCAAAACCGGCCAAAATGTGCAGACCCGTATATATACGGTCGGCGTCGCAACTTATGTCGCTAAAATGTTCAGATTCGAATATATCCGGGCAGTAAAAATAACTTAATAAAAACCGAGGAAAACATTCAATTTATTGATATTCATCGTGTAATTCTGTATTGTAAGCTGTAAAGTTTGTTTATTTGGGATTATAAAATATGGCCTTTTAGGGTGACACTTATAAGCATCTCTGACCTGGTAATTGTTTCTATCTATCTATATCCATTATTGCGTATCTAATTAGCGTTGGCACTTTTGTGAGTTTTGTTATGACTAATTTATTTATTACTCTCCAGTTATCTCCGATCTCTTTCTATTTTTTGCTTATTCAGGAATATATAAAATATGCACTTTTAGGATGGCACTTATGAACATTTAGTGTATTATTCGTGAGCAAGTCGTGAAGTAAAGTAGACGTTATCAAAGTGAATTTCTTCAAAGACAATTGTTTTTTATTTTTTACAAATATTATTAGTGTCAACATATAAAAACGTTTTTGTTTTATGGTGTATTTTTATAGAGAGTAAATTGGATTTTTAGTGTATAAAA